AGACATTAGACACAGTACACAGTATACAAACCTTTTTATAAGCTATACTTGAGAGGATGAACTCTGTATCTCAGCTTATGATCTGAATAGTAAAACATGAAACAACAGGGACAGCTGTATAGTAAAACTTCCTCTTCTGAGCAGTACTCTAAAATGCTTCAGGATATTGCCACTGAAATGGCTCAATTGTCTGGATATCCCTAACCATACGAATCTGGATAGAGTATATGTAGTGTAATAGATAACTTCTGTAACATTCTGAGAACTGGCATAGGAACAATGCAGAAGGGGAAATGGTAAGTTCCTGCTTTTTGTATAGCCCTCTGAAGCCACTGTATTGGATTTCTCATTTTACAATTCACATACTGCCAACACTGCTTTATTTTATAATCATGTATTCTAGAAGGCCCTACTTCTCTATTAATGGAAGAGGGCAAAAAAGAAATGCCTCCTTGCCTTAAAATGTAGCCATGCCAAGGAAATATTAAAAGACATAATCCTGAAATAGGGTGTCCGTTGGTCCTGTTTTATACTGGACCATCCTGTTTTTTAACCCTTTCCCCCCCGTCCATTTCTAAACGAGGAATAGACTGCAAAAAGTCCTGTTTTTCAGTTGATTGGTGGAAATATATGTTAATCATTTGTCCTTGTGATTCTATTTGTTGTGCCTACAGCTAGGGCAGTGCGCAGCCATAAGGAGCAGGGTTCTCAGTCAGGGAGGAAGGGACAGAGGTCATCTTTTTTATGGTAGTCCTGCCCCTTGCTGCTGATTGGCCAAGGAGCCCAGTGGCCCCAGCCTTTCTGCTGATTGGCTGAGGGGCCCAGTGGCTGAGGGGGCTGCCCCTCAATAAGGAGATGTCCTGTATTCTGGGGGTGCATCAGTGGCCAAACACTATTTAGAGATTAGCATAACCTAGGATAACCCTGTTTAGCACCATGCCACTTAAAAATAACTCATAACAATATGCAGGTATAACATGTTGAAGAATAGATTTGGCCCAAGAGGAAAATTCTACTACTCTAAAGATAAGTCTCTTTATTTTTCTGGCTCTCCAAACTTCCACTGTTTTATGAATGGTGTTGAAGGAGAATGTCTTTCTATGGAAGTATAACACAGGAGTTATTTTATTCAGTGACTACAGCAGCCAGGTTTAGTGCTGTTTCAAAGGACAGTGGTCAAGTTTCATTTAGTGTGGTGTTCATAGAATATTTTACAATAAAGAGTTTAGATGAGACAACCTGTATTCCAATGCCAAGAGCAGACAAATGGCTAGAGATAATGCATATAGACAGGGTACAGACAGAGAGAAACGTATGTCCAGTAAAAAAAATCAACTTGGAATTCTTGTGAAAAATTTAACCTGGTTGCTTAAAGGAAAATAACAGCAAAATAGAAGATATAGCATAGGAAGTAGAATCTACTATGGATTTCATTCTGTTTTCTCTTTTTATATATTTGTGGGGACTTATGACCTTGTGAAAAGGACTGGTTTGCTATTTTAGGTTTAATGTTTTATTTTCATATTTGTTATTCTAAACAGTGTTAAATTAGTTATAGTTTATCTTACTGCTAATTCTCAAAATTCAGTGGTGACAGTGCTGGTGATAAATGTTCTTGAAGATAGTGGCTGCATTATCCGGTGCCATAAATTAGCATAATTTCACAAAAATTGATATATTGATCTGTACCACCTGTGAATCTGACCTCTTTTCTATACTTCCAATTACTGGCATAAAAAGATGAAGGCAGAGAAAGAATCAAGTTCACCTTGGTGAAAGCTACATAGTTGCATGATGCAGCTTGTAAGCTATTGTTAACACTCAAATAGTTATTGATTGATTGGTTTAATTTAGATATTTGATGCAAAAAAGTGAAAAGGGACTCATATTTCTGCTTCCATCCAATTGGATTTTTGTTGTCTAACAAGAGACATCTGTACATCATTATGCTTCCTCTACAGGAAGGCCATTATTGTATTTTATTTTATTAATTGGCTGCTCTTTTCAATGCATTGAGTGCCTAATCTTCAACACCAGGTGCTATAACTCACACCTGGAAAACGGTTATGTTTTAGAAATGCAGACAGCTTGATGGAAGTCCTTATTTTCCTACCAGCATTATTAAATACAAAGAACTAGAATCATCAGCACAGTTTCTCCCTAACTACTCATTTTTACATGATTGCAAGTGGTACAAATATTCTTTTTTATTTTTGAACATTGGTACTGAAATTTTGCACAGAAATAGCACTGTTTGTGAAATTTAGCTAAACCTGAAGTATGTTCCAAAAGTGTGCCTGTACTGTAACTAAAAGGAAATATCAGAATTGAACTCAACCCTGCCCACAGTGCAAATGACAGATAATGTCCTAACCATTTGAGTAGAAACAGGGTCAGGTCCACTAGTGGCTTGTATATCAATGTGTATTTTAAAATGTACATATTTGTGTAGTTTGCTAATATTTTTTCTCAGTATATTTAGTCTGCAGATTCAGCCTTTGGCATGGTAGAAAATCCAGAGAACATAATGTACCCCTTGAACCTGTAAACACTTTATGTACATGTGAAACTTTGCATATATGCCTCCTTTCTTTGCACTTAATGGAAAATGCATATGCATAAAGTTACATGTGTGCATAAAAATTACAGAACAGGACCTTAGTTTGATTCTTGTACCACTGTAGATAACATACATGAGCTGAACACCCAGGAAAAATATCGCTTAATGCAGACGTTTACAAAAATGTGTTTTTAAAAACATCTGTTACAGAGTATTATGCATGAGACTGATCTGGAAAATTAAACTTATTGTAAACTCAAATGAAATGCATCACTCTGATTTAATTGGCTTCAAAAGTGGAACGCGTAAGGAAGCAGCAAAAATCATGAGAATCAAATTAGATGTTCAAAATTCTATCATGGCTGATAAGGTATTAATAAAAGAAGAAAGAAAGTTGTATCTTAAAACATTGTTTTTGGCATCACTAAGTTTAAATACCTTTATAAATGAAAAGGGTTCTTCAGTTTTCTTAAAAGAATTTCTGTGCACAGATTTTTTTTCTTCTTTTCCCAGAGGGTACATTCAGTCTTCTGGTACATTTCAATTAAATAATCAAATGATTATTCCAGTATTTCATGAATATTTATTTTTCTTTGATTACTTCATTTACTTGCTGCATTTTATTGCATTCTCCTTACTCTAGGGACCACATTAATATTTACACATCAAAAAGGCATGTACTTTAAATTGCAAAGGTTTATAAATTCATAGATCTTGAAAATACTGTAATTATACCTTCTATTTTTCAGCTATATACTGTACCAATGAATAAGTACTAACTAGCAACTCTGTGGGAATGATTCAACAAAATCCATAAGAAATTTTAAATTCAAACTCATGCATATAGCTTCTGTATTGTTATACATCATACTTCTTTGCTGACTAGTAAATCATGAATCATATGGATAGTCACCTTGACTTGAAAAACTTCACAACATAACAATAAGGGAGTGCATCTACACATGTACATAACTGCACAGTAGACTAATTTGTTGCAACATAAAGCCTCAATGGACGCATCCAGATGAACGCACACATGCCTCTTGCCCCATCTCAAACCCCTTTGGGACAGGGGAAGAGGCATGTGTAGGAATGAAAAGATGTTCCCTGTGCTGCAAACTTGACCCCCAGGCTGCAAACTTGCAAATTAGACCCCTGGATATCCAGGGGTCTAAAAAAAACCGGAAGTTAAATAACACAGGGCAGGGCACAGTCCTGGACCTGAGGCAACCGGAGGCTGGGTCCTCTACAGAAATGCTCTGGCTGCCAGAGCATCTCTATGGTTGGCTCCTGTGCCATAAGTAAGGAGTTGGAGGAGCTGGAGGAGGGGGGAGGGGACTATGGGGGGGAACCCCACCAGCTCTGCCCAATCCCCAGCCCCCCCCAGCCCTGCCCTGCCCGGCCCCATCCCCTGCTGCCCCCCGGAGGCCCGCGATCCTGGTGGTGCCTGGCCCTACCC